CACACCCCCCTAACACAATCTGGAAGTGGCAGCAGACGTCTGTGAGGACTTTGCTCTCGTTACCAAGAATTGCTGCTCCACAACAGACCTTCAGATTGCTCCCACCAGCCCTCAGCCTGATGGCCACTTGGTAGCAACTTTGGTGGAGGGGAAGAGGGATAGGAGAGAAGGGTTGAACATCCCAGTAATTTCCAAAACCCCATATGCCCTATCCTGTGTCTGGGCTCCAGCCATCTGTACCTGCAGCTCCTCAAGGGTGTAAGGAGTATCCTCTGCTCCCCTGCACACATACCTAAAAAGAAAGGGAAGGCTTTCTTTCCCAGTCCTGGGTGCAGACAAGTAGAGAAGCAGTCCATCTACCCTGAACACTTCCCTGCTTCCTGGCTGAGACCATGTTCTGGTGGAGGTTGGGTGGGAAGGAGTTTCTAAACCCTCCACTCTGACATCCCAGTTCCTGTGGCCACTGGCCATAGCCATAACCATCACTTCACCACCACCCCAACTTGCCCATTTAACTTCTTAATTAAGGTCCACATAATGTTAGAGATTATTCCATCCAGAACATCATGGCATCCTTCAAGAACTGAGTCTAGAACAAGGTCAGAGCCAGACCAGATCTCTGTCCCCAGCCTGTGTCCTAGGGGCTCTTGCCCTGTTCTCCTCTGTCATCTGCTTCCCCAAGAACTTAGTCAAAGGGTTTCAAGCTCTATGCATCTGTGGGAGCTCTGAGCAGTTCTGTGCAGGAAATTCAGTTTATTTAAAAAACCTGTTTATTTATTCACCAGCCCTCTCCAAGGTAGATATGAGCTTGTTCTCCCTCAGGGGGTACAGATGTGACATTTCCAAGGCACAGCTCAACCAGGAGTTTTTCCAGGTGGGGTCAGGCCAACCTGACACATGTAGAGACTGGGCTGCCTTTGGATTGGTGAACTCCCCTTTCTGGGCCTTGGGTTACTCCCTAACTGGTAACATCTGGTGGCACAATAAATAGAATGCTGGGTCTAGTGCCAGGAAGACCTGAGTTTAAATCCAGCCTGAGACACTTCCCCACTGAATGACCCTGGACAAATCATTTAACCTTTTTCTGCCTCAGTTTCCTCAACTGTAAAATGAACATAAAAATAGCACCTACTTCTCAGGGTTGTTGTGAAGATAAATCGAGATATTTGTAAAGTGCTTAGCACAGTACCTGGTACATATTAGGTGCTTAATAAATGTTTATCCCTCCTTGCCCACCTGACCCTTTTCTCCCCCCTTCTCTATCCTCCCTTCCCAGGGGTAAAGAATTCCTTCTAGCCTATCCTGCCTCCCACCCACCCACCCCCAACCAAGACTTTGGCACTAGTTAGCCTCTTGCTTTCTTCCCTTCTTCAGCTTCCAATACTGATCCAGGGGGGTCCACCTGGTTTCAGTGTCCTTTCTGTTTCCACCCTCTAACTGTCTCTCCTTGTTTCCATCCCACCCCCAACTCAGCTTCTCCTTCCACCACTTTCATCCTAGACTCCCCTCAAATCAAGCAGACCCGGCCACCTCCCCAGATCTTGATGATGCCTCCCAAGAAGCCCCCCCCCTCCCCCCCCACCCCCCCCCTTTCTAGCTCCCCCCAGTCCTTTCCAGGGAGTTTCCCCTCCCCTCCCTATCCCTCAAATTTCTTCTCAGAGAGCCTCCACGACTTCATCCTTCTCCATAGAGACCTAGCCTCCTCCCAAGAGCTGAGGAGTGCCATACCTCAGACCCAAGCCTAGCCCCCTTTTCTACCTTCGCTGCTCTCACAAGGATGGAAAGGTTTCGCCGGGGAGCCCTGGATGCCCAATTTCCCCACGAATGGGCGGGGCTTAGACCGTGGGGCGTGGCCCTTTGGATGCGGTGGGAGGAGCTTCCCTCGCAGGCGGAAAGGAGTGAGGCGGAGCCTCCTGCTCTGGGGGCGGGGCCCTGGGTCGGTCAAGCTCCGCCCTCTAGTCGGCTCGAGGGGCTTATAAAGAGAGCCCACTGAGGAGTCCGACCCCCCTCTCAGCCCAGAGGAGAAGCGGCCGAACCCCGAGCGTATTGTGGAGCGGCGCGTCCCGGAGGATCGGCCTCGGGCCCCGGAGACTCCGGAGCCCGGCCACAGCCATGACCCTCCGCCACCTTAGGAAGCTGCAGCAGAAAGAAGAGGCAGCGGCGGCGCCGGACCCTGCGGCCGCTGCCCCGGATCAGGGGGCGGCCCCAGCCCCGGCTCCAGCCCCGGCCCCGGCCCCGGCCCCGGCTCCGGCCGCCTCCGCAGGGGAGGAGCTGTACGCCGCGCTCGAGGACTACCACCCGGCCGAACTGTACCGCGCGCTGGCCGTGTCCGGGGGAACCCTGCCCCGCCGCAAGGTGGGCTCGACTGGCCCCTCGCGCCGGGGCCCCCTCGTCCTCGCGCTCCCCCTCCCTGCCCCCCGCGCCCCCCTTTTCTGCTGGTGCTGCTCCTCCTCCTCTCTCCATCTGGCTTTCTCCCCCACACCCCCTCTGTTCCCCCCTCGCCTCCCATCCATCTCGCCCGCACATTCTAAGTGTTTCGGCGGTCTGGGACCCCCCCCCCCGCTCCGCCCTGGGGACTCTGCTCCCTCCTCACCTCCTTCTCTTTCCCCTTGACCTCTTCTCTTCGATCCCCCCTACCCTTTACCTTCCCTGCTCAGAACTCTTTTCCCCACCCCGCCCCATCCCTTCTCTTTTTGGGACTCTTCTTCCTCTTCCCCCCACCTTCCCTGCTCGGGACTCTTCCCTCTCCTCAACCTTCCCTGCTCTAGACCCTTTTCCTCCCTCCCTCCCCACTCGGGACTCTTCTTTCCCTTCCCCCACCCCTCTCTCCCCGACTCGGGACTTTCACCCCCTGACCCCATACGTGACTATTGACTTAGAGAGCTTGGTGCTGCCGGCCCTCTGTGGAAGAGCTTCTGAGGTGCGCTAAGCTAGGGCTGGTATCCTGCAGGCTTGGAGAGAGGGAAAGAGTCCTGGGGGTCCCAGAAAACCTGGCTGGACACCTCTCTAAAAGCCAAGATAGGAAAGAGGGTCCCGAAGGAGGTAGCGGCGTCTGTTTTGGATGTGGGCGGGAGGCAGGGAGTACTGGAGATAGCCCTTTTGCTAACCCAAGGGCTCTGTGTTGGATGAAACCTCTGGTCTTGAGGGTAGAGAAAGGGATTGGAGAAGGGGCATCCGGGCTCCGAAGCTGGATGTCCTGGCCTGCTAACCCAGGGCGGGGGTGGGGTGGGGTGGAGATCCGGAGCTGCTAAGTCCCCAGCAGTGGCCCCTAGTCTCTTCTCCAGAGCCGCCGGGAAGGGGGGGGGGGCCGTCTTTGGAGCAGGAAGGATGCGAACCACGCCCTCCTTCACCCCGGCCCCACCTCCAGCCCTTAGAAGCTCTTCTTTTTAGCTCTGGGGCTGAGAGAACTGGAAGACCGAAAAAAAGAGAGGAGGGGACGATAGCTAGTTAGCTTTTCAACGAGTGCACAATTCAGGTTAACAAGGGGGAAGGGGAGGACTTGGATCTGGGCTGGGGGGCATGCACAACACAAACCTTGTCTTCCTTATTCCCCACCACGGGTGCCCCGAGCCCCACCCCCACCTGCACCGCCCCCTCTCCCCCATCCCCCACAATGAATGGCTTGTTACATGTTAAGAATTTGCATTTTATGAAAATCAGATTGGGGAACAAAGAGGGCTCTCTCTGCCACCCCCACATCGAATTTAGAGGGACCCCTGCCTTGGGCTGCTTCTTTCCGGGACATTTCAGTGAGATGAAGGAAGGAGTCAGCTTTTGGGGGCTACTAGGAGGGGTGAGGGAGAGCAAGGAGAGGAAAGTGTTCTTGAGGGGAGGAATAGTGGAGTGGAGGCAGTGATCTGTTGGGAGGCATTTTAGAGCTAGGGTGAGGGTGGGCATGTTGTTCACCAGCCCCAACTCCAATAAGCATGCTTGTAATTCCAGTTCCAAACAGAAACAACTATTTTGGAGAGGGACCCGCAGAGTTGGCCATGGCTGGTGAGGATACAACTGGGTCTTCAGAGCTGGATTTTCAGAGAGTTGCTGGAGCAGCTCTGGAGAGCTCTAGGGTCCATGGGAGTCCTCAATACCAGTTGTCCTCAGTGTGGCCAAGTGTCTCTGACTTGAGTGAGTCAGGTGGGAAGGTGGTTAACATGGTCAAAGGGAGCTTGCTCCCACTAGGAAGGTGGAAAGCCTGGGTTCTGGTTATGATTGCCTTGTAGGATGACCCTTGGCCTTTGGGTCAGAATCCTACTTCTTTCTCTGCTTCATCTGAGAAACACCCCCTTTCACTATTCCTCCACTTTGGAGTCATAGGACTTAAGTTTGAACCCCAGCTCTGCTACTTAGTAGTTGTACCCTTGGCAGGTCGTTTAATATCTCTGGGCCTCAGAAAACAAGTGGGTTAGACTTTAAGGCCCCTTCTAGCTCTAAGTCCTATGATCCCTCCCCTCAGCCAGAATTTCCCTTGAGATACGGAGGTGGGACTCTTTGAAATAATGGGAGGCCCTTTGGCCTCCATTAGAGTGGTTGGTGGTGCTTTGGGCAACTGGGAGCCCAAGAGGGTCAGAAGCTTCCCTCTGTCCCTCTGCATGTGCCCTGAGACAACTGTTGGTGATAGTCACTCCAGAAATACTTGTTAAATCAGAGCTGGGGAGCACACTTGGTGAAAAATGACCTAAGAATAAAGAGCATGGGAGCAGGTCTGGTTCGTGGTCTGACTTTGGCCTTTACTTTCTCCATTCTTCAGCCCCGGATTCATGTCTCTTTCCCCTGACCCCATCCAAGGTAAAACTAAGAAGTAGGCAGGGTGGATGCTAGGAACAGTGTCCTGCTCCGAGGTCAAGGTTCTCACCACCTACCCTGTTGGCAGCTGTGCAGGGGAAGTCAGATCCTTGCCCTCCCTATCATCCCTGCTGATCTCTCTCTCTCCTTCTTCCTTTAGGGCTCAGGTTTCCGGTGGAAAAATCTCAACCAGAGTCCGGAGCAGCAACGGTGAGCTGTCCTCCCCTTTTCCAGTCTCCTGTCCCACTTCTCCCCATTTAGGGAGGAGTGGGCCAGGTGGAAGAGTGGGCTGAGTGAAGGGGGTGGCAGAGAAGAAGGGAGTGGGAAGGTTTGAGTCATTGGGTGTTCTACAAAACACCCTTTTCTCCTCCCCCCCCAGCACTTACTGCCACATCCCTTTGGCAACTTTGGGGGCTGGAATGGGAGGTGGAGAAGCTGGGAAAGAGGGAGAAGGGGTTGCCTGCAGAGCTCTGGGAGTGGGGGCAGAGAATGAAAACAGCTCTGACTGCTTGCCATCCACCCACCCTAGATGATCTTCCCAGAGCCAGTTCAGCATAAAATCCTAGAACATTGGACTGGGGAGGCCTACTTCTGCGGTATGAACTGTGACCTTGGGCAAGTCACTTAACCCTATTTTACAGATGAAGAAGCCGAGTTTCAGAGAGGTTACTGTTGGCTACCTACTTCATAGAAGTGATATGAAAATCCAGTTAGTTGATGTATGTGAAACAGGAAATGATGCCAAGCTACTCAGAGCACACTGCTGATCTCTGGTGCCTCAGGCTGTGGTCCCTTTCTTAACCTCAGAAAAAGATCCCAAAGACCAAAGAACAGATGACTGTTGCTCTCTGGTTTTCCCTGTCTTTACCCTGGGAGGTGGGAAAGAAAGCTTCTGGGGGTTGGAGGGGGGGCAATGGGGGAGTAAATGTAACAACTTGGGGGTGTTCTCCCATTGGAGCTAAAAGGTCCCAGCCACTAAGAGGGTTTTTTCCATAACCCAGAGCTTGGAGGGGGCCACCAAGGCAGCTTTAGTTATGTGGGAGGGGTAAAAGAGAAGGAAGAAAGGGGGTGGAGTGGGGGTGTGTGTGCGCAAGGGAAACTGGTGGTTCTGGATCAGCTCCAAACCATTGTGTCCAGCCATTCAGCTCCCCCACTGTCCGGGAAGGGGCTGTCGGAGGCTGTTCTCCTCCCAGCCTGTCACATCTGGCACACTTCCCCCAACCCCCTCCTGCTTTCACAGTGGGAAGGCCCAACCACAGCTGGGCAGAGCAGGCTGGGAATTGGGCTGTGGTCTCCAGACAAGCCTGAGTAGGGGCCAAAGCTGTGGAGCAGATACTCCAGGGAGCTCAAAGTTGGACTCTTGTTTCTGGGACCACTGATAAAATGGGTGGGCGCCCCAGGGACAGTGTCAAAAGCTCTCCACCCTCCCTCCTACCACCACAATAACCCATTCCCAGTGTTACAGCCTGACCCTGTTGTCTCCTGCAGGAAAGTGCTCACATTGGAGAAGGAAGAAAACGAAACCTTTGGCTTTGAAATCCAGGTTGGGAAAGGAAATGGTATTGGATGGGAGTGGGGCTGGATGACTGATTGGGCTCTTTAAGTGAGGGAAGGTGAGGCCTGGGTTCCAGTATCCAGCCTGGCATCCTGGACTTAATGGTTTGATTGGGCTGTTTCAGACTTATGGCCTTCACCATCGAGAAAAGCAGAAAGTGGAGATGGTGACCTTTGTGTGTCGAGTTCATGAGGCCAGCCCAGCTCAGTTGGCAGGACTCACCCCAGGTGAGGACTCAATATTGGATTTGGAAGAAGGGAAGGGAGTACCGCAGGGAGATGGGCAGGGCAGGGACGTGGCTCTGTTCTTTTCCTATGAGATCCTGAAAAATAGAGTGTATGCAGAATGGGCAATAAGGGTAAATCCTATTTGTTAACAGGAGTAGACTGAGCCAAGGTGCCATCCCTATCCTTACTCCTGGGGTTGGAATGTCAGCTGGCCCTTTCTTTAGGAAGGCCTGTCTTTCCCTGACATACCCTCTCCAGCACTTCTGTTGCATGAAATATATTAATAAACATTTATCCCATTTTCAACAATGGAGATAGAAAGAAGAAAGATAACAGTTTTTGTCCTCAAGTTTTATTGGTGCCTTTGAATCTTCTATCACATTCATTTCCAGACATACTCATTCTCTACCGAGTAAGGCCTACCTTGTAGTCATTTTTTAATTGGCAGAACCATTCAGCACATCTACTATGTCTGACCTCATATGGAACCCTCCCATAAGTGGAAGGAGGAAGCTTGATGCATTGATTTTCCTCAAGATGTTTTCTCCTACATTATCTCCTTTCTACCTGTGTGACCTGAGGCAAATCATTCCAGGCCTCGGTTTTCTCAATGAAAATATAAAATGAGGAATTCAGGTTAATGATCTCTAAAATCCCTTTGCGTTCCAGATCCTGTGGTTCTATTTCAGTCAGCAAGCGTTTATTAGGCCTTTACTAGGTGTCATGCACTATGCTAAGTAAATGTATTTCCTACCTGATGTGAGGTAGACAGGATAATGTATCTTCATTTTGAAAAGTAAGCCTTTAAAATTCGAGAGAGGGCTGCCCAGGTCATGCATTGAGTTAGTGGAAGAGAAGCTAGGAAATGAAGAGGGTTGGACTAGTGATCTGATCTCAAAGGTCCTTTTTTTTTTTTTTTTTTTTGCTTAGGCAATCAGGGTTAAGTGACTTGCCCAGGGTCACACAACTAGTAAGTGTCAAATGTCTGAGACCAGATTTGAACTCAGCTCCTCCTGATTCCAAGGCTGGAGCTCTATCCACTGCGCCACCTAGCTGCCCCTTCAAAGGTCCGTTTTAACCCTAGCAATGAGGCAGTTTAGGCGTAGGTGGAGCAGTGGATTGAGGAGTAGGCTTGGAGTAAGAATGATCTGAGTTCATCTCCAGCTGCACACACTTCCTAGCTGTGTGATTCTGGGCACGTCACTTTATCTCTGTCTGCCTCAGTTTGCTCAACTATAAAATGGAGATAATAGCAGCTACTTCACAGGGAGCTAATATTTGTAATGCACATAGAATTTTATTATTGTTCTGTCTAATCCAACTCTTCCTGACCCCACTTGGGTTTTGTTTTTTTTTTTTAGGCAATTGGGGTTAAGTGACTTGCCCAGGGTCACACAGCTAGTAAGTGTCAAGTGTTTGGTCTGAGGCCGGATTTGAACTCAGGTCCTCCTGACTTCAGGGCAGGTGCTCCATCCACTGTGCCACCTAGCTGCCCCCACTTGAGATTTTCTTGGCAAAGATACTGGAGTGGTTTGCCATTTCCTTCTGCAGCTCATTTTACAGATGAGCAACTGAGACAAATAGAGTTAAGTGACTTTCCCGGGGTCACACAGAAAGTGTCTGAGACCAGATTTGAACTCAGGGAGAGGAGTCTTCCTTACCTCAGGCTAGGTCACCTAGCTGTCTAGTACATAGAAGGACCTTGGTAAATGCTTTTTTTTCTCTTCCTGTGGACTTAAAGCATAGGTCTTTTGCTTCCCAGTCTAGAGTTCTGCTTTTAAGCCATTTCTCCCTCCTCCCCAGCCCTGCTGAGAAGTGGGTCTCATGACAAGTTGTGGGCTAAGCAGCAGTAACCAAATTGGGGGCAGCAGAGCCCCAGAGGGGAAAGGATTAGAAAGGACTCAGTCATCAGGAAGAAGGTCCTCCCTTTAGCCTGCATGGGGTAGGCCAGAGGCAGCATATGGCCCTTGCTTTCTCAGCTGGGAGGCCTGAGACAGGAGAGGTAACTGAGAAAGAGCCTAAGGCTGAAAGAAAACAGCAGCTGTCGTAGCCAGGGCCAGGTGTTGGTGGCTGTGTTTGGTGTGGGAGAGTTTGGGGAGGGTGGAGGTGGGAGCTGACTTCCCCAGACAGGTGGTAGAGGTGAGAACTTCCTCTGGGCTAATGTCCAGGTGCCTTTTAAGTAATCTCCCCCACTTTTCTAGGCTAAAGAAGGAGAGAAAAGAAATATTCTGGGGGTGGGGGAAAATAGTTGTTGTTCAGTCATTTCAGTCATGTCCTGACTCTTCCATGACCCCATTTGGGGTTTTCTTGGCAAAGATCCTGCAGTGGTTTGCCATGTCCTTCTGCAGTTCATTTTACAGATGAGGAAATTGAGGCCAACAGGGTTAAATGACTTGCCCAGGGTCACACAGCTGGTAATTGTCTGAAGCCACATTTGAACTTAGGTCTTCCTGACTCCAGACCCCACACTTTATCCACTGTCACCTAGCTGCCTTTTTTTTTCTGCAACATTTCCCAACCCAGCCCCCTAGTCATGCTGAGTCCCATCTGTATGGTAGTATTCAGTCAGAAAACTTATGTTTAAGCCCCAACTCTGTGTGCATATGTATATGTGTGACCCTAGACAAGTCACTTCTCTTCTCATTTGTAAAATGTAAATATTCACTTGGTCTCTCTCAAAGAGTGGTTATGAGGAAAACATGATAGGTAAACCGTAGGGCACTTTGTAAATGGGAGCTATTATCTATTATCCATGTTACACAGGAGATACGATTGCCAGTGTGAATGGTCTCAACGTGGAAGGAATCAGGCACCGGGAGATTGTGGACATCATCAAAGCATCTGGCAACGTTCTCAGGCAAGACCAGGCAAATGCTGAGCACCTCTCCGTAGGGAAATGCTATCAGAAAGCTACCAGGGAAAATCTAGAACCCATTAGAAATACAAAGCACCAGAAAGGAGTAAGAGAATGTGAACAAAATGATTGGGAGGGAGAGAGGGCCTTTGGCTGAGAGGATCAGGCTGCATTTCAGTTGGACCTTGAAGGACTGGTAGGGAGTTTAACTTGTGGGTGGAGGGGCTGGAGAATAAATTGTGAGTGTGAGCGAAACATGGACTGGAAAGCTTAAGAGTATTCGATCCAAGAGGAGTGAGGAAGTTGGGTTTGGCTGTAGCCTAGAGGTTAGGGGAAGAAAATAGAAAGGCAGGTTGGGGGAAGAGAGGGCAATGTGGAAGAGCTTAATGCCAGACCTAAGGAAAGGTGAGGAGTAATGGTGGGTAGGAAATGCTGCCATGATCCAAAGTATCTTAGGGCCCTGGAGAAAGATTGCTCAGCTCAACTCAGCTCTGGTTTGGTGGTTTGGAGCGAAAGATACCTCTTGGTAATTTGTTGGGCCCATAGACCTTAAGATTTCTTCTCTCCCTTTCCCCCTCCACCCCACCTCCTTCCCCAGACTGGAAACAGTGTATGGAACCTCAATTCGGAAGGCAGAGTTGGAGGCCCGGCTGCAGTATCTGAAGGTAGAGAAGGTTCAGACAACCCTTACCCCGGTCCTCAGAAGAAGCATCTTGCTTCCTCTAACCCTCATGGAGCCCTGGCTTCCTCACCCTGGGATTCCCTGGGCTCCAACCCTTTTGAAGAGAGGCATCTATCCATCCCTCCTCATCCCAACGTGCCTTCTATTTGTCCTGGGCCCCTCAAATCCTTGCTTCATTGCCTCTGTCATTCCCCCTATCTCTAGGTCTATCTACTCAGTCTTAAGGGTGGGCATCCTCTTTTGCAGCAAACTTTATATGAGAAGTGGGGGGAATATCGATCACTGATGGTGCAAGAGCAGCGACTAGTACATGGTGAGTAAGTTCTTGAATGGTTGCTAACCCCAGCTCCCCCACCCCCTTCCACCTCCACCCAGGTCCTGCCTGTCATTAGGTGGGGAGTAAGTTCTTCAATAATTATTTACCCCAGGCCCTCAACTTCCTCCAGTTCTTCCTTATTCTTCAGAGGGTGGGAAGGGAAGACAGCAGTTTTCTCATTTAAGGAATGGTTCCCTTTCCTATAGTAGAGTGTCCCAGTCACCGGTTTCCTTTCCCCTACCACCCCCACTCCCCAACAAGGACCTGGGCCATCTGGGCCGCAGCCCTCAAGCTTTCCTCTGCTGCATTCCCCTGCCCCCTGCCCTTCTGCCCAGGCATCGTAGTGAAGGATCCCAGTATCTACGACACGCTGGAGTCTGTGCGCTCTTGCCTCTATGGGGCGGGCCTCCTTCCGGGCTCCCTGCCCTTCGGACCACTGCTGTCCGCGCCAGGCAGCGCGCGAAGCAGTTCTGGACGGTCCCGAGAAGGCTCTGATGACTCAGTCTACCACACGTGCTTCTTCGGAGGGGCAGAGCCCCCAGCCCTGTGCCCTCCGGCCCACACCCAGGCTCCACCCCCGCCCCCGGCTCCCCGGCCCCTGCTGAGTCGCAGCGCCAGCGTCAAGTGCCCAGGACCGGGCGGAGGCGGGGGTGGTGGCGCCTTGGGTCAGCTGTGGACAGAGGCCCGGGAACAGGGCCTGTGCGGACCCGGGCTGCGCAAAACTAAGTACCAGAGCTTCCGCCGGCGGCTGCTCAAATTCATCCCGGGACTGAACCGCTCTTTGGAGGAGGAGGAGAGTCAGCTGTAGGGGGGGTGTGAGCCGTGCAGAAAGGGGAGGGGGAGAACAAAGTTATTTATTTATTTATTCATCAGTTCCTGCAACTGGGCTTGAGGAGCTCGAGTACTGAGCAGGGTTGGGGTGGAAGGGCTTTGTCTGACCCCCTTCCGCCCAACCCTTCTCGGATCTGGCTGACCTCTTGGAGGAAGGAATTGTTGAGAGGAGAGAGAGTTTTGTGTCCTGCCTAAGGGGCTCTCTCTGATAGCCCTTTGGGGAAAGGAGCAGGGCGTTTGGTTATCCTGGCTGGGTCTGTGGAGCAAAAAGCAAAGACTGTGGCATCTGTGTATGGGGCTTATAAAGTCTAAGCTTGGGGGCGGGGGCAGGGCTCTAGTTCCTGAGCCTGTAGTGCCTTGTGGGGTATGCCCCGTACCCTGGATGGAGCTCCAGGAATTTTGCCCCACACACTGGCTGCTCCTCAGCTTTACTGTGCCTCTCTCCTCTCCTCTCCATCCCAACACCCAGTTCAGCCAGGGAGAGGAATTACCCAAATTCTTCCCCTCCTCTCTTCTTTCACCCAGGGGCGGGTTGGAATGGTTGTCATTTCCTGGGCTTCTGTGGGAGTGCTTCTAGATTCTTCCCCTTTCTCCTCTGCCCTTGGTCACCGAAGGGCTTGGGATCCCAGTATGGATCTGTTAATAAGTGAAATCAGCTTCCTTGTACTTATCAGGGCACTCTAGGAAGACGACCCACTGAGGGGCCCTGGAGGAACTGTGAAGTAGGGCTCATCCTGGGAACTTTATCATACCCACCTGAAGGACTGAATTGGGGTGGGGGGGAGGGTCATGGGGGGAACAGACTGTTTCAATGTTCACCAACTTGTTGCTTCTAAAGGACATACTATAAAAAAAGACTTTTTTTTTACATTTGTGTTGCTTGCTGACTACTGGGGGAAGGGAGGGAAGGAGGGCCAGGAGGGTAATGGCCCCCTAATTCTATATTTTGCATCTAGTTTGCATTTTTCCTACAGCTTTTGGACCTGGCCAGGACCCATTGTGTAGAGAAAGAACCCTGGGTTTACTCTCCTGGTTTCTTAGAGACTTTTGAAAGGTTTTAGCCCTATTCAATCCCTATTCTTCACTGTCCACACCGTGATTACAGTTCTGGGTTTCAGAGAGATTTGGGTCCTAATTCAGCTAAGTGGCACAGTTGGATAGAGCACCCTACCTGAAGTCAGGAAGACTGATCTTCCTGAGTTCAAATCTAGCCTCAGACACTTACTAACTGTGTGACTCAGGGTCACTTAACCCTGTGTGCCTCAGTTCCTCATCTGTAAAATGAACTGGAGAAGGAAATGGCAAACCACTCGAGTGTTTCTGCCAAGAAAACCCCATGTGGGGTTACAAAAAGTCAGACATGACCAAACAATAACAACCAGTTTTGTGAGACCCTCTATAAAGAAGGGGTTTTAAACTTGGGGTCTACAGACTCCTTCTGTGGGTAGGTTAAAGAAGGTATATGAATTTATTTTTTACAAAATATTTTGATATCTTTTAATATGATTTATTTCCTCTGTAATCCTATGTATTTTGTTTATTTTTAAATAAGAGTCCATGACACTAAAAAGTTAACCGCTGTTATAAAGCTTCAACCCTATTCAATCCCTGCTGTTCCTCATCCACGCCAGGAGTAATCTAGGGTTTCAGACACCTAGATTCAAGTCCTGATCTACTTTCACTTCAGTGGGGAAATGATCTGGGGCAAATCACTTCTTTCCCTCTGGATCTCCATTTCATCACCTTTAAAATGAGAATGTTAGGTCTGTAATAGTCATTAAGGTTCTTTCCAACTCTGATATTCCATTACCCTGAGGGTTGTTTTTTTTTTTAATTAGTGATTTCCCCTGCCCGTTGTTCCCCAACATTCACTCTGGCCAGCTCTTACACATGAAATATACCCCCTTCTACTCTTGGCCTATTGAAGTCATCTTCCTTCAAACCCAGTTCAAGCACTACCCTTTCCAGGAAGCTTTTCCTTCCCTCTTTCCTCCTTGAAAGTGACTCTCCCTGCCCCCAGTCCAAGCGTTCTAGACAATTTTGTGTGACTCTCTCCTTTATCCCTATCACTTTCCAACCCCTAGAATAGTTGGAGTTTATATCCCCTGCTATCCAGGGGAGGCAAGGGACATTATTTAAATCACTCTCTGAGTGGCCTTTAATAAGTGCTGAATTTTAACTGGGGTCTTGGCTGAAGTCAGTAAGTGCTCTCTCTCTCTCTCTCTCCCCTTCCCCACCCCTTTCCCACCCCCCACCCCCCACAGCAAGCTATTTCTCTTTTCTTGTGGGATCCAGAGGTCTGAGTGATGAAGTACAATTTCCCAACTCCTTCCACTTCCTCCCTTTCTCTTCATTGAAGAGAACCTTGTATTTGTGAGGTTTCTGAGGAAAGTCTCTCTCTTCTTACCCTAAATCTGTCCAATTCCCTGCAGGCTAACTCTTCCTTAATACCTCCCTTGGATTTGGACTTTGACCCATGTAAAAAGGACATTGGTCCTCATATCTCAGTCTCTGATGCTATGGATGTGGCTTTGGACTAGTCCAGGGGAGAATCTGGGACCTTGAGGCCATAGGTGTCCCTCTAGGTCCTCAAGTTCGACCCTTTGAATCCAAACCATGCATTTGAGGACCTGGAAGACCGCATGTGGCCTCAGGGCTGAAGGTTCTCCACCCCTGGACAAGTCACTTAACCTCTCAGCTTCAGTTTTCTTATCTGTAAAATGATTATCCTTGTGTTTCCTACATCACAGACTTGTGAGAAAAGTGCCCTAGAAATAAGAGTTACTCTTTGAATAAACCATCTATTGTCTCTAATCCAGGAGCCAAGATTTCCAATCTGTTTGGCTGGGTTAGAGTTCTAGCTGGGTTACCTGTGTCTTCCCATCCCCCTCCAGGTTTCACCGGGAGAAACCACACAGTTGGGTAGGGAAATGGAGCTTCTGAAGGAAGCTGGGGCCTTTATTTGAACAGCTGGTCTGCAGTGATGGTGAGCCTCTCCAGCTGGGAGGAAGGGGGAGAAGAACTAAGGAGAGAGGGGAGGTCCTTGCAGTCTCTAGGGAGAATTATTAGGTGGTACTCTGTTCCTTTGTTTCCCAGAGTCCCACGCTTCTGGGTGGCCAGCTGCCAGGCGATCTCTAAGCACCTTCAGAGTGTTGCTAAACTGGGAGGTGAGAAAGGATTAATCCTTTCCCCTTCTAGAGAGGATTCCCACCCCCAGATGGGGGAACCCAGATCTTTGGCCAGCCACCACTTCTGACTATAGCCTCTCCCCACTTCCTGACCTTGTTCTCCCAGGAGATGAAGTTAGCTCAGATAGGAGGATTAACAATCCCATAGCAACAGGGCAGGTCCCTAGGGGAGGGGAGAGAGGCAGACCAGGCTGTTGGGTGGCATTTGACTGTGACACATGGTGGGTTCCATGTTGGGTGGGTTTGGAAGCTTGGGGGGGAGGGAAGGCTGAGCATCACCTCTCAGCTGATCAGATGACGAATTGGCACCAAAAGCCTCCTGCCGTGTAGGTGGGTGACAGAGAATGACTAATGCGGGAGCTGAGATGCTTAAAATTAACCCAGAGAGTGTGCTCAGTGGAAGGGGGTGGGGAGGGGTGTGTGTATGCTCAGTGAGAGGGGGGTAGGGCAGAAGGATGGGGAAAGAGGAACAGGGACGGGGACAGGAGAAGCAGATGGGATTCTTCCTTGTCAGTGAACCTGTCTCCTGTTCCCCTCTGTAGTTTGGAGGTTCCCTAAGCCATTGAGTCCTGACAATTCACTTTTCCTACTCCCCCTCCTCCATCTACATATTCAAAGGAGAAGACAAGATCCCTCAACTCCTTCCCATGCTGAACAGCTGGACACAACTTTGAGATGTAGTTCAGGCATAAGTCTCCTAAGTGTGCAGCTCTCAGATTCCCAGGCACTGAAGTGAGAGCGTAATGTCATCCTCTCCCCCCTCCCCCCCAAATCCTGGTCTTGTACCTCTCATAAGACACTCCATATCAGCCCATCTGGATAGTCTGTACTGTCTGGGATAGAGATCCAGAGAAGGAGACACAGGTTTTGTTCCTGGGAGGATTTTAATCTAAGGCAGTGTGAATGATAATAATAATAATAATAATAATAATAAGCATTTGTATAGCATTTAGGGCACAAAATGCTTTACAAATGTAACCTCATTTAATCCTTACAACTCTAGAATTTAGGTGATATTTTTATTGCTACTCCTATCCAGATTTTACAGATGAGGAAACTGAGTCAGATAAAGACTTGCCCAGGGTTACAAAGCTAGTAAATATCTGAGTTTTGAACTCAGATCTCCCCGACTTCAGGTCCAGCACTCTATCTGCTGCAGTACCTATACAGGAAATGGAAAAAATCCTAGATTTAGAGTCAAGATTCCAAAATAGCAGACCTGGCACTCAGACAGAGGTTTCCTTACTCAGAATACTGAGTTCTTTTTGCACTGTCATGGATAATAATGTTGTTATTGCCTTTACATCTAGCAAAAGTTATTTGTGGAAAGGGTCAATTCATTGTTCCCAATGTCCTCCAAGGAGATGGACTTAAGCCCTAGCAAGGGCAGAGGTTAGACTTCAAGAAGAACTTCTGGACCATCATGCTATGCTAGGGAAGTGAGGGAAGCAGGGGGTGACTTTTCAAGCTCAGAAGAAATAGTTCTGTCTGTTTGGTTTGGGGCAAGGGCTGACCTACAAATTCAACACCACCAGGATCGATTCAGTGGCCTTAGGAGAAGACCTCGTAGTGACTATGAACAGTGCCCATGATCAGGTCAGGGTGCAAGGGAAACCAAAAGGCAGGAGGAGAGCATCTGAGCACCTTGGAAAGAGAGTTCAGTATTCTTATAAAGTGGATTAAGGAGAGGGGGCCGTGAACTGAACTGTCTCGTGAGACGTTCATTGAGAGCCGGTGTCATCCGCCCCCTGGTGGCGTACATTGTATACTGCTCCTCACAATTCAATCTTGTATGCAAAAAAGATTGTACTTCAAAACTCACCAAAATTCATAGTATTTAGAGCTGGAATGACCCTTAGAGATGATCTAGGCTGAGAGTGGGGAACCTGAGGCCTCAAAGCCACATGTGGTCCTCTAGGTCCTCAAATTCGGCCGTTTGAATCCAAACTTCCCAGAACAAGTACCCTTAATAAAAGGATTCAGTCAAAGGGCTGTACTTGAGGACCTAGAGGGCCACATGTGACCTTGAGGCTGCAGGTTCTTCATCCCCGATTTAGGCGAACCTTCTTATTTTAGGATGAGTAAATTATGACAAAAGAAGGGAAGGGCCTTGCCTGGATTAACACAGGAGAGGGGCTCGTGATAGAAAATGTTATCCACATCCAAAGAAAGAACTATGGAATTTGAATGCGGATTGAAGCATATTATTTGCTGTTTTTTTCTTCTATTTTGCTTTGTTTTCTCTTTCTTGTGGTTCCTCCCATTGGTTCTAATTCTTACTTACAACATCACTAATGTGAAAATATGTTTAATAGGAATGTATAAAAAAAACAGGAGAGGGGCATAATGGCATTAGTGACCCTATTCCTTCTTCTCTGTCAGACAGACCCATCTCAGCGCTACCTTCTAATCCTCCGACCCCCACAATCTTCACACCCACCAAAGACATTCTCATATGTGATCATGGGGTTCATATCTGGGTTCAGTCCAGTTTCTGACACATGCTGGCTATGTGACCTCTCGGTATCCAAGCCAACTGTCCAAGGCTAGGAGAACAATTTGTTGAATCTGTATTGCAGGAGGGAGCC